AATTTTTCTCACCCCTCACACAATTGCTATAAGTTGATAATGGCTTTTGAGCCCACCCCTGCTTCCTGCGGGGTCTCACCTCACGAGACAAGTTTTTAATGGACCTCTCTAGCGTGAGTTCACACCTTTGGGCAACAGTTCTTCCATCCTCTGCCGTCCCTCAGGGTCACAAATTCAGCTGCACCAGCGTGGATCCCTCACTGGGATCATACATCCTACCCGAGCCGACTCGCACCAGAGTAGGTCTCTCTTTCTCCACAGGCCACAGGTTTCCAGCACAACTCTGTTTCATTTTAGGCCTCTCACAAAGTCTCAGCTTCCTCGTGCATCCACTTACTTCAGCGTAAGCTCCTCTATGAACTGCGTCAGGGTCTCTCCTCGGGGGGCTGGCTGGTTGGCAAACCCATGGCACATGTCCTTGCATGCAAGCCAGGAAACACTACAACTACCTACATCCATTCACAAGTCCTAAAACATAGCCTGTCACCTAAATCTTTCATTCCCCCTCGTTCCCTCCTTTCCCTTTCCCAATAATCCCCTCAAAACATTCAGTACAAAGTGACGCATCCTTCTTTTTGTCAACTTAAAATGAAAAGTGAGGGACAACTCTAACTATGAGAGTTGATTTCTCCTTGCCATATGTGAGCTTAAGTTTGAAGTGGACACACTGCAAACACCAAGGAGTGAGGTTTGGAAACCACCTGAGGGTGAATTGCTGTGAACCTCTCTAATGCATCATTACATGTTTCATGTACTTTTCACCCTTGGCAGATTTATTACTACCAAGAGTTTTCCCATTTCAGAAAACAGCTCCTTTCCCTTGCCATGTTATGTTATGGTTTGCCCCAACCCATATTATTTTTAAAAAGCAGCAACTACTTTAAAAAAAAAAAAAAAAAAAAAAAAAAAAAAAAAAAAAAAAAAAAAAAAAAAAAAAAAAAAAAAAAAAAAAAAAAAAAAAAAAAAAAAAAAAAAAAAAAAAAAAAAAAAAAAAAAAAAAAAA